AAGTACCGGGATTCTGAGGTTGTCGGAATAATTAGAATATGTGTTAAAAGTGCTAAAAATCTCAAAAAAAAAGATAGTCGGTTTACCTTTTCTAATCCTGATCCGTACGTCCGCATTATGGATGCTTCTAGAATTGAAGTAGATCGCACTTGTGTTTACCATGGAACTGTTAATCCAAAATGGGAAGAAGTTCATTTCGCTTCTGTTCATAGTTTAGGCGAAAAAATTTCGTTTGAAATCTTTGACGAAAATCTTTTTGTATCAGACGAACATCTCGGTACCTATGTCTTGGATACTAATACTTTAATGAATTATGACGATCATTCTAAACCTATTAGTGATTGGTACCCACTTCAAATTGGTAAAAAGCCAGTTGAAGGACATTTGAACTTGGAAATTCAATTTATCTCCACCGTATTTACCGAGGGTGCGGACTTTGTTTTTACTATAGAATCAATTAAACTTCATCAAGTATATATACTTATTAGCTGGCGCAAAGAGAATGGTTTCTTTGAATTTTCTGATAAATTGGCGCGTTTTTTTAATTATAAATCAGTCGATAAATTGAAAGAAAGCTTTCTTAAGCACGTATTTTCAGACAAAGAACTTTCAAAATATAATTTGTCTATATTATCTACAGTTCTTACGATTATGTACTTCAAGGTTTTGTGCTGGAAACACTATAATGAATGGAATCGAATTATTGCGAACAGTGAAGCGCTGCTTAGCAAAGAAATTAACAATATCGAAGCCGAGGATCGTTTATATGATTTATGTAAAAACTTCATTATTGAGCGTTTTAAAGTTAAAAATCTTGAAAAAGAACAATTGGAAATAATCACACCTGGTAGGAAATTTATACATTTTATTTATAATATTGGTCTTCTAATTAAAATGACTTATGTAATGTGTTCATCTTTTTAGTCAAACAAGCCATCATTACACGAAAGAATATCAATATCCGTTATATTCGTACACTTATTGGTCATCAAGATGAAGATGGCTGTGTTGCTTTAAATGAAAAGGTCGCTAATTACTATGGCTTTGAAAGTGTTGATGAATTTGTGAGATTTCTGCGAAAATACTTTAAGACAGAGCGTGTCACTAAGCTTCATCATGACGTTTGGGTAACTGCATGCACTATTTGGTACCTACGATTAGTTGCTGTTGATCATCGACAGGAATGGATCGATAATTATGAAAGGTCATCCCAATGGTTAGCAAAACAATATAATGGAGATGATGCTCTCGAGAACGAAATCATGGAATGTGCCAAGGAG